GAACATGAAGCTACAAAGGGGAAAGTTGAGTAAAGGCCCTGTTATCTCCAGGAAATAAATGGATACATTCAAGACATTACTAGGGTACGCACATGCTCCTGGATCTGTTCAAATCCTGTAACCAGTTTCTAGGCTAGGAACACTCTAAGTAGCTCCTGGTTTCAGACAGAGCAGTTTGTTTTCTTCTTTCTTTCCACTAAAAACTTCCTGTTTTCAATACCTGCAGTATGGAACTTGCCAGCAGTGTTGAGAGATGCAAAACTCAGATCATCTACAATATTGTGTCTTGTGTGAGGGGGGAAAAAAGCAACATAAGGAGGTATTATAATTTAACTGATGTGGTGTGTGAAACTGTCAAAAGAAGCCCTTTGTCCACAGCCCAATGAAGATGCGAGCTGTTCCCCACTGAACTGGTTGCCTCTGGGATGGAAAATATTTCAGTACTTTGTAAATGTGCTGAGATTTTAGTGTTTAACTGAGGAGGGTGCACAATATCTGCCATACTCAGAAAGCGCACCCATAGGCAAGTCAAACATGGCATTTTTGTCCGTGTCTCTCAATTGTGTGAGGAAATGACCACAGTGAACACCATCCACCTTTCATACAGGAGAATCCCACAAACCCCATAGAGGACATTTCCTACATGTGCTTTTGGAACAGGACTTGCAGCAGCTTCAGCTTATGTGTGGACCTTCCCCCAAGAACTGAATTTTAACCTTCAAGGTTAAATTCAGGTTAGCATGACACCATCTGTCTGTTACCCATTTTGCTTGAGAACATGGAGCACTTGGCCAACATTTCAAATGCTGTGTACAGTGACTCAGGGAGACCCATGACAGAAAAGTGCTTTTGGGAACTGCAGCAGTTTTATACTAAGTTCTTTAAAGCACATGAATAGGAGTTGCCTGAAATATTACTTCCTTGTACCAGATAAGAGTTTCTTTAAGCAGAATTCAAAATCAAACATTTATTACAATAAATACTGTCAGGGACCTTCAGGTCTCTAAAGGTAATCTGGTAAAAATTGGAGTCTAAATTAATATTGAAAGGAAAAGATTGAAAAACATGCTTTCCTTCACTATTTTTTAATAATGTGTTAATTGATAACAATAATCAGACAAGAAAAGTGTTTGGAAGACTGAATATTCAGAGAGAGCATCCAATGGTTACTAACATCATCTCCATTCCTTGTCACAGGTAGCTCAGAGCTGCAGTAACAGTTTCAAGAAATTCCAGGTATGCCATCCATCCTGCCCTCTGCCTACTGGAACTTTGCCACAGCTCCTTTTCCAGTCTGCTCTGGAAACTGAATGCACCCCAGTCTGGGAAGGGACTTTTTTGTAAAACTGGTTGCACAACCTGCTGACATCAAGCTCAGACTTCCAGCATCTGGGAAATAAATCAGCTCATCTCATAGTCTCCTGGTCCCCAGCACAGGAGAGACTGTATGGAGCAAGTTGCCTTAATTCTACTATTTTGCTTCATGACTGGGGCAGGGACAAGGTTTGTGAGCTGGGTGTGGGGACAGAATGGGGGAAATTTGGCAGCCTCTTGACTACCAGTGGAGAAAGACATTCCATTCTGACGTGTATGTACACAGTTATAAATTCTGATTTATCCTATAAACTTATTTCTAACTACAACCCTCAGCATAAATGAAAACTTCCCTGTTGTGTTTAAAAAACAAATCTTATCTATGTCCCTGGAAGGCAAGGCCCAATGCTGGCACAATAACATGCAAGACAGGTTGAACCAGTTTGGTGCAGTTGAACTTGTGAACCAGAGCTGGATTTCATCTCTCCACTTTGGCACATAGAAGGAGGGAGCCACATGACTTTTCTCATTAGGCCACATAAAAACACCCTCAAAGACAGTGTCTGGAGCTTGCTTAGACCAGGGGGCTGAACATGACACAGGAGCTGTTTCCAGAAGTGGTAGCCAGGTGAGAGTGAGGCAGAGAGGGAAACCTACAGCCATGTACAACAATGGGATCAGTGGGAATGACTGGAATTTCTCCAAAAAGTCTTCCATGCCTGTGTCTGAAGGGAAAAAATGACTATGGTTTTGATGCATAGTGTTGATCTCTCCTGGTAAATCTCAGTAGAGCAAACAAGACTGCTTTTTGTGTACTTGCCTGAAATCAACTTTTCTAAATATCTGAAGAGTGTAAGTAATGGAAAAGGCTGGCTCCAGGTACTGGTACCTGGACATGCCTCTGTCAGGTCCTTCCTCACCATGCACCAGTCCAGTCCCCCCTGCAGATAGTTTCTATTTGTCATAGTTAAGAAGTGTATTTGCATCTGCTGTCACTAAGGCTTGACCCAGTGCTGGGGTGGCCAGGGCATGGATGTAGATGAAGCAGTTTTACCTCATGCTCCCTCTCTGGAGGGGACAGAAATGGCTCTGAGTGGAATGACAGTCCGAGGTCTGGCTTTGAGCCCTCTGTAAGGGCCTGTGCTGCAGAAGGCTATGTAATGTCTGCTTGCTCAAATAGAAAGCT